AAACAAGATCCAGATATAATGTTCATGCTCAACGCTAGCACCAAATAACAATTATTTAAATGAAGGTTCATGGAGCTCTCAGTGGTGTACACCAACAACCTGGTCTCGGTGGAGCACTTCATACACATCATGGAGTTGTTGCTTGCCGAGGAGAAGTACAAGGTGGTCGGGTTCGACCTCGAGTACACCCGCACTCGTGCCGGGTCTCGTCCCAAGGTCGTCGTCGCCCATATGTGTGTGCGGAACCACGTCCTTGTCTACCACTACTGCCTGGCCACAAGGCCTTGCGAGCGTTTCACCAGGTTTGTCAACAGCCCCCACTACATGTTCGCTACGGTGGATATCACCAACGATGTCAAGGTGCTCAAGAATTCGGGCATCGCCTGCTAGAATTTTGTCGACATCCAGGGCCAATACAAGATCTTGGGGCAGCAAGGAGCATGATAAGGACTCACTGATTCACCTCGCCGAGGCATCATCGACCCCTACTACAGAGACATGAAGGATTCCTGCAACAAGGACAAGTGTGTCTGGCACTCGGCCTGGATGGAGAAACTCGACAAAGCTCACGTCGTGTATGCAACCAAGGAGACGTACACGTGCTACGACATGTACAGGCGGATCGTTGACATGAAGAAGTGCCTCCTTCCCCCCAAAACGACTAGGGATCCAGCCGGAAGCAGAGCAATGGCAAGCGTCGTCGCAACACTCCTAGTTTAGTATGCATGTAATTGCTTACTTTGGTGTGTGAAAATTTTATGTGTGTAGTCACTTGTGTAATTGTATGCTTAATTTGGTTATGCAATGCTGTCTTTTTAAGTATATATACGTTGATGCTCTGAATACAGAGCAAATCACATCGCACATGGACTAAACAATGTAACCCGTCGGTGATGATTTCATCAATCACTAACAATTGTATACCAGCAATCGTTTGCTCACAACACACACGGCTTGTTAATAGGAATCGTCTGTATTATTATCAGTCTTCCCACACATTTTCGATTACAGACATGTTTGCTGCGTATCACACACATCTTGTTAAGTTGAACCGTTTTTGTTCTCTTGCCTCAACGCAAACAATTCATCCGAGTGAACTGTATGCCGTATATTGCACACACCTTCATCTGGCTGCCCGTTTCTATTGTTCCGCCTCATCGCAAACAGTTCATCCGAGTGAACTGTATGCTCTACATCGCACAACGCCTTCATCTGGTAGCCTGTTTCTTTTGTTCACCCTCATCGTAAATAGTTAATTGAACTGAACCGTATGCACTGAATCGCACACGCAACAAAAATCTGAACCATGTTTGATGCATCCTCATCGCAAACGTTTTGCACCTTTTTTGACGGTTTTTTACACCACCGTTGCGATTATTGCATCGCACACAGTTTCATCGAAGGGTCTCTGATCGTAGTGTCGCGTTAGCAGCATCCTGCAGTAGTGACCCTCCATTGAACATGATCTATTTTTAGACATCCTTCAAATGATCCTTACTTTTGCAAACATGTTTTCATGCCCCATGGTAGGCACTCATGCCAGGTTTGAACGACTTCTGACACCGTATGCACGTTGCGACATGTCTAGTCATTTATCAACTTTTTTCACCGAGAAAGCTCCAAAAAATGTAAAACATGTCGAAAATGCAAACAACTTGGCATGGTGTTTTGAATTGTTCATACAAGGCCATGAAAAAAATTGGAGTCATTTTAAGAATGCTGATAAACAACGTGCTCTCAAACGAGGACGGAGCCTTCTAGCCACACGGAGACCCTTCGCTGAACATGGTTTATTTTTGGACATTCTTATAATGACCCCAATTTTTGTTTTATTCTATTGAATCTATTTTTAAATTTAATTTGAAATTTCAAAAAAAATAGTGTTTTTCAAAAAATGTTCGTGTCCGAAGTATTGTTTTCTTTTTAAAAAAAAATTCTATCTTTTGACATTCTAAGTAATTTTAAAGACCCGAACATTTTTTTGAAATTTTTGTATAATTATCTAAAATACAATACCTGTATTTAATGAGCAAAATTTGAAAAAGCAAAGTTTTTTTTGAAAATTTCAACAAATTTGTAAAAGCGCTATAACTTTTTGAAAAAGAAAAAGAATCGAAAAAGGAAAAATGAAAAAGAAACAAGAAACATACAGAAAAAGGAAATAGTGGGAAAAGACCGGTTCACTACAGTATAGCGGTCGCTAAGGGGCAATAGGCCTTCCCAGTCGGGCAACCTCCTATGTGTGGCGCCGTCTTTGCCGCTTGCTGGGGCAAACTGTCGGGGACTCGCACAGACCTGGGATATGAGCGACGATACATGGGCTGGCTCACTTCCACATTTCCACAATGCAGCTAACCAGTTATAGGAACCTTTTAGAAGGTTCCCTGAACCGGGTTTTTTCCTGTGTTGTTTCTTTTCTGATATTTTTTGTTTCTTTTTTTCTGTTTCTTTTTTTCTTCAAGATTTTTTCTTTTTTAAAAATCTTTAGAAATATAAAAATTGTTGCATTTTCCCGAAATTTTAAGAAATGTTCCTATTTCCAAATTTTCTTTGGATATTTTTAAAAGTATTCACTTATTTTATAATATTTGGAAATAAAAAGCATCTTTTAGAAAACAAAAAATATTTGGAAATTTCAAAAGGAAGTCTTCGTTTTTAAATTTTGTTCAAAATTCAAAAAATATTCGCAAATTCCAGAAATATTTGGGGAATTTCAAAATATGTTCTTGCATTAAAAAACATTTACAAATTAAAAAATCATGTTTAAAAAATTGTTAGCAAATTCCAAAAAATGGGGAATTTCATGAAAATGTTTGTAATATTGGTTTGCTTCGTATTGCGAGTAGATTGATCAGAGAAGTCGGCTTCACTTTGTTTCTTGTGGTGGTCGTCGTTATTGTTGTCGCATGTCGTCGGAAGTACTCGATGTTCCAATCGTGTCAAAAGAGCAGTTTTTAGAGGCGTCGATTGACATGCAAGAAGATGATGGGGAAGAAAGTGGGGTGGATGGACGTGGGAAGCGCCGTCGCCGCCTCCATGAACCATGGGCAGCGCAATCATGGCGTTGCAACCGCCTCAGTCGAAGCCATCCATCTGCTCATGGCGCTCACTCTAACCGCCCAGGAGAGATTCTCCGAACCACCCGAGCATGCTAGAGCCCCACCGACGTGGCCTCCCAAAATTTGGAAGCCAGGTTCTACTATAAGCATAACGAAACATTAGTTTTAGTAATACTTCATCAACTGCATAGAATGCCCTGCAAAAAACAACTGCATAGTATAAAAAGAATACTCTAGTAATAATCAAACATGAACAAGTAGTCAAAATGATTGCAAATAGATCCACAAATCATTAGGGGCTAAATATGAACAATGGTACATCCACGGAGGGTTATGTAAGGTTTACGGCCTCGTCTTGACCTGGCAAGTTTTTTTTTGAAGCTAAAACACACGCTTTATTACTCAATAATGTTTAGAGGAATAGAATTGATAGGAGGTTGCAAAAAGCCGCACATGGGGGCCTAGAGATAATCTAAGGGCATGTTTAGCGAGACTATGTGCCTCAACATTCGATGCCCTTCCTTCGAAAGTGAAAGAGCACTCCTGGAACTCCGATACCATAATTTGATCTCTATGATAATGTGACCATACTTCCCTCCATTTCCTTCTTCTATGCTTGTAACAACTTGTTTGCAATCAGATGCAACTACAACTCGGGTTTGCATTAAATCCGTTGAGAGTGCCAGAGCTTCGCACAGATCATAATCCGTTGAAAATTTTCATGTGAAATGGGATGGCGGTGCTTTGTCAGTGAAAAAAAGCAAAAGTAAATGTAACATTTGTCGTCCGACTTATTTATTTTTTTGCGCGGATAAAAAATACTCAAGCTTCCCTCCACGAAATTTGCAGGTAGCATTTTGGTTTGACAATGAAGACATCTATTTTTTTGAATTTTGTTTGACATTTGTAAAAATATTTTTGATGGGCAGGAGCATTTGCTCCCAAGAGCCGAATTAGATTTCCGCCAAGAAATACTCAACATTCTAGTAAAGACATTCTGAAAGAACGGCAGTGGCCAAATTGCAGTTTACGGATTGGCTCGGGCATTTCATCGAACAGTTTGCCCCTCCCCTGCTGGAGGCAAGCAGAACAACGAGTGGAGGAGCGGACGAGGTGAGGAGCGAGCCACGTCGGCGGTGTACTTGGCGCTGACCGGCCACAGACTCAGTACGGAACATGCATTCCGAGACGGAGCATATCTTTGTGTTAGATCCCATGCTACTAGTAGAAGTAGCAGCAGCAGCAGCAAAGAAAAAGAAAAGGAAGTAGCTTAAACCTCACGCCATATACTGTACTAAAACGCGTCCCAACGCTCAACCTCGCCTCTCCTCTCCTCTCCTCCCCTCCCCTCCCCTCCACCGCCGAGGTCGAAATCTGCGGCGAATGCGACCGGGAGAACCGATCCCAAGGTGCGCCGCCCTCCTCCTCCTCCTCCTCCTCCTCCTTCGCGAGTCCTCTCCCGGGATTCAGGTCTGCTCGGGGGGAATTGCGGGCGGCTTCTGTTTAGATTCCGCCCCTCCCTCGTCATCGCCGTCCCCTTCCTGGGGTTTGGCCGGCCTTTTTTTCTTTTCGTTCGCGGGGCGGGCTGGGGTTTAGCCCTTTTGTGGAGCGCGGGTTCCGCCTGGATCCGCTCCCCGCTGTCCGGGTCGCTTGGTTCGCATTTTCGTAAGGTTTTGCTCTCAATTTTGACAGGATCAGCTCGCCGCTGCTTTAGGGGGGAATCGCCTTTTGGCCCGTGTCCGCTGTGCGTGATTCCGGACTGTCTACTACAAAGCGTCATCCTGACCTGATACCCGTGCGTGGATTATCCTTTCTGCTGCTGCTGCTGTCAGTAACATCTTTGTTGCTGCCTTTGATCTAAAAATGTTTGTTTGTTTATGTCCTTTGGTGCCAGGTTTACTAAAGCCAAGTCACCAACCAGGTTCGAGCTGCCGGGGAAATATGGGCAATGTACTTGCAATGCCTGCACATGTTTTCCAGACAGCTCAACAGAACCATGTGGTTGTGGTTGCGGAGGAAACATTCAGATTATGTGACGTGGATCGTCTGTCTCAAGTTACCAGAAAACTGCACCGGTCCATTGAGCAGCACCCCCACTCAAAGCAGGCAGACACGACGTGCTGTGTCTCAGCTGAAAGGAGAAGCCATGACAGTTATCCATCGTCTGATGATGGTGATGTTCCAGAGTGGCACCTTCATTTTTCCAACCGGGCCAATCCCCTCCCCCTAACCGACAAGCGGCAGCTTCATTATCGATCACATATGTATATGGAAACTGAGGGTCTTGAATGTATCTTACCTGACCATATGGCCCAACTAGAAGACATTGTACGCCACCACACAGTGGCTGTTGGTCCTGGTTACGAGGAAGAGCTACTCCAACACCTCCCACACAGCACAGATGCGTTGACCAGGTAAATTCACTTGTTTATATCCAAGGTTATCAGCATCAAGTATTCCTTCTCCTTATTCATTGCTCCCTCCGTATCTAAATACAAGACGTTTTTGCAGTTCAAATGGAACAGCAAAAATGTCTTATATTTACTTAAAGAGGGAGTATTACAACATAAGCATCAAAATAGTATGCCTCTTATTGTGGTTCAGACCTGAATAGCATCTTATATTTGTTTTGGAGTGGCAAATAGTTAAAAGTTCAATTTTTTTTTCAGTACAGAGATGTAATAGACCGCGACCAGCATTGTACAACACAGCTTTTCTGAAATAGTAACAGCCCAAGTAGAGTTAAGTTTCCCAAGATAAACTTTCTTCTGCTCCCAGTTCTTTAGTAAGGCAGATGTTCTGTTCAATTCCTTGTAATGAAGTATTAACTTTTCTTAATGAAGCTGGGCGTGTCCCCTGTATTTAGTTGTCAGAATACTGTCTCTTCTTCTGTTTCATATATCATATGTGATTTTTCTCTACTCATATTTAATCCTGCCTATTAAACAGCCTTTTCAATGAACTGGAAATTCGGTTGACCAGTATTAGTCCTGAATGTGAAGATTTTCCCATCAGGTTGAAAACATACACAGAATTGCTCTGTTTGATTAAAGGGCAGTTATATGACGAGAGTAGACCATTTAGGGAATTTAAGATAGGCTACTTTGCACAGTTTGCAAAACACCCTATAGAAATTCTCGTGAAAATTGCATTTCTTCTCAGCAAGATGGAGTGGTCTGTCACTGATATTTGTCCAATGATGCTTGCATATGAGGCAGTTATGGATGTTGTTCCTCTTATCCAAAAATTAATTCCCAGTGAATCTGATGATCTCTTACCCGAGATTAAAAGTAACATCTGGGAGTCTTTCAGGAAAATAGTTGGCAGTATGGGGGATCCTCAGGGTGGTGCCATTCACTCAGTGACATGTTCCCTGGTAGACTCAGTGAAGATTATCCATAGTCACAAACAGTTAGTGCAATCTTTTGCTCCTGATGATGACAGCCACTCGTTTGGAAATCTTCTGTCTGGCGTGATTGGAAGGTGGATATCTGCACTCGAGAAACATCCGATGTCAGATAGTCGGCGGAAGAACATTTTCATGCTGAACAACATGAGTCATTTAAAGGGGAAGACAAATGTTCTGTTAGATGATTTGCTGCCTCTGCAGCATCTTGATTTTCCTTATCCTGATTATTTCAAATTACTCACAGATATCTGGATCCAGGGTTACCTGGTAGATGCTTGGAAGCCAGCCTTATATTTTCTGAGTTGCAAGTCTTGGTGGGTTAGTCGGCATTCATCCTTGGTTAAATTTACCTCAACATTCAATGGGATTTTTGATCATCAGAAAACTTGGGTGGTTCCTGATCCTGCTCTACGGGAAACTCTAAGAGTCCGTATAAAGGGGCATATTTTGCCAACATACAGAGCTTTCTTGGTGAAGTATCCAGATACTGGGCCGTCTGGTTGTTTGTGTTTGTGGGGAGGTTCAGCAGAAGAGATATATAGCGCAGAGAGTTTGGAGCTGGTGGTGGACACGATATTTGAAGGAGGAACTGGACAGCCTACTTGTCCTTCCCTTTCTCCTTAGTATCCATAGATTAGACTATCAAGTGGAATTGTACATAAGGTGAAGATTTTTCTCACACGAAACCACTGATGTCTGTGTAATGCTGATCTTGGAGCGCGCCTTTTCCTCCCTAAGTAGTCCGATAGGGAAAAGACTCTGGTTGTATATTTGATATTCTTCTTCCGCCCATTTTTGAAGAAGATAGGGAAAATACTCTGGTTGTATATTTGATATTCTTCTTCGGCCCATTTTTGAAGAAGGTCCTCCGGGAAAGATGGTTTGAGATGCGAGTTAAGTACTTGTTTGTATTCCTTGTATGACGATGCAGGTTCATCGCCTTGTCTGTATGTAGGCTGTCTCAGAAGTGAAGGTGTTATCCCATTTGTTTTGCATCATGCATTTTCATCTCTGTACAAGTGTAGATTAATGGTGCAAGGTTTATCAGGGGAAAAGGAAGCAGGCAAGTACTGTTTGTATTCTGGTGGCCGTTTCTCCCGAGCTAGCCACCTCCCTGTCCTGCAGCCATCCTCGTCTGCTGCGCTGGTAGTTGGCGGCGTCTCCATGGAGGTGCCTCCAGGCAAGCCTGCTGCTCCGGCTCTGCCGGCCGCTTCTGCCGTGGGATCGCATGGTCTCGAAGCTTTGATGAGGATGAAGATGTGGAGATGGCGCTGCGGACGCCGCTGGCCTCGGCTGATGCCCCTGCTTCCTGTGCAGACGAGCTGACCCACCGGCCGCATTATGTGTCGTGGGCTTCTGCTTCTGATGAAGACGATGACAGGGACGACAATGAGGATATGGCCCCCAGACTCCGCCGGCTGCCATCGACTCCCAAGTCCCAACTCCGCCGAGGTGTGCCTGGCGCACGGGCCAGACACAAGAGGGGATGGCCGGACGTGCTGCCAAGGCGTCCGGCATCGCCGGCCCTGACATTGGCTGCTCGTTTGGCTTCGTGGCAGATGCTTTACATGTCTTGCTTCTGGGCACCGTGGTGCTGTTTGCAGAGGTCCCCTTCGATGCTCCCGCTATTTGGAGAACGCTCAGCTTGCGCGTGAGCGCCGCAACCCCTGACGTCCACTCAGCTCGCTGGCATGCCTTGTCGTGCCGTGCCTCGGCATCGAGCATCATCAAGCGTCAGCTTCCCATAAAGGTCCGATGAAGTCCGCGCTTCTCTCTGAGGCGCCTTGTTATGGGTCTTGGGTGTCTGTCATCTCTTATCACTGGTTCGGCTGCCCCGTCTGATATGGAGTTGCAGTCTGCTCTAACAGCTGCCTCGTCTGATATGGAGTTGCAGTTTGCTCTAACAGACCAGTCCAAGTTGCTGCAAGGCTTGTTGGCGCGTGTTGAAAGCTTTCTAGAGAAGATGGAGGTTGCTCTGGGCAAGCTCCCCCTTGTGCAGGCTATGTTTCCGGCTGCTCCAAAGTCGTTTTCTGATGTTGGTTTCACGGAAGAGAAGGGGACAAGACTCTTTGGTTGTTTCTCCCCTCGTGTTGGGATTAGTTCTTCGTCTGTCGTGCCCCTATGTCGACTACTGCCGAGGGCGAGACCATCACCACGATCGTCACCCCTGTGTTCCAGATCATGCCCGAGCTTCAACAGGTTTGTGTGCGACCTGCTTCGCCTCTATCTGTGGAGCATATGGAGGTCAACTCGTGAGCGACCTTGTGTGAGGGACATGACTCGCCTATGTCATCTGAGCAACTGGAGGCGTCTGAGTCCATTGTATCAGTGGTACCTGTGGCTGATGACGTTGAGGCGGTCGGTATGTTAGCGTCTGATCCTTTGGTGCCCAGTCTGCCGCTTGCCTTTGTGGACCGTGGATATTCTAACATTGCGGTCACCGACTCGCACGTGGCCATGAGGAAGATGGTGTCTCTGCGTGACAAGGTCGATGAGGTTCTCTTCTAGATTAAGCTTCACAGCTTGCTCGCATGTTTGGAGAAGGCTAGCATTGGATCCAGCAAGACGATTGTGGGGGAGGCTCTTAGAGCATCTACAACCGGACGCCTTAAACCCGCCTCATACGCCCAGGCGGGCCGCTCGGTTACTGTTCGGTCACTTTTTTGACCCAGACGGGTTTCTTAAACAGGCCTCAAACGCCCAGGCTGACCGGCACCCCCATATCAAACCCAAATATGGGGCGGATATGGGGGCATCCGGGCACGCCCGCCACGTCAGACCCGACAGCCTGACCTCACCTCAAATTGCATCAAATCCACCAAACTCTTCCTCCTCCTCCCGCCGCCCTCCAACCTTTCCTGCGCCCGGACCCTCGCCGTCCTCCACTCTTGCTCCCAATCCTCACCACCGGTCCCGATCCACGGCTAGAGATGTCGTCCAGCTCGACCCACACCGCCGCGACGAAGATGCCGTCCGCCTCGTCCGTCGGCAGGGTCACTTAGTCAGCTGCGACTTGCAAGGCGGAGAACATCGCCGGAAGTTGCGGCGGCGCCAGCAGCGAGAGAAGGAGGCAACAGCGGCGTCGCAGGGAGGTTCGGACATGGTGGAGCAGATGTCTCCTCCGCCGCGCCCGGATCCCCACACCCCTTCCATCCAAAGCCATCCGTCACGCTCGGACATTGATTTCATTTTGGCATGTCTGGTTTGTTGAACTATTATTTGCTTTGCTTTGTTTCGAACTTTGGAATTCCGACAATTTGTATCGTATGATCAACGTGCATGGATTTTAGAATCGGAATTTGCGTTATGTGGATGTGCGACGCAACATTCGAGAGTACCTCGCTGAGGACCACGGACACCACCAAAATCTAATCTATGTTTTTTAATACAATCATAGTCGTCGCTAGCGCGCCGGCCCGCCCATCGATCCACGTCACCCGCCTTCGTCGTGTCTGCACGGCGGTCCGGCGGTCTACCTCACCGGCCTCGTCCTCGACTGCGTCGGGCTGACTGTGTCAGACTCGTCGGCTACCTCATCTCGGGCCCTGTTGGTGACGTGCGCCTCCGTAGGTCCCGTGAAGATTGTCCTGAGTACCGCGTGCCTCTTCGTCGATCGAGCTTTGGGCTGCCGCTGCGTCGCTCCATCGGGCCGCAGCACCGCCGCCCCATGGTTCTCCTCGCGGCTGCATCGACTCGTGCATCGCCGCCGCGTCGCCCCTTCGGGCCGTAGTGCCGCGATACGCGGTCCCCGCCGCCGCCCCGAGGTCTTCCCGCCGTCGCCCCGACCCGCCTGCCGTCGCTACGTCGCCCCTTCGGGCCGTAGCGCCACGGCCCGCGGTCCACTCCGCCGTCACCGCGCGTCGACCTCCCGTGGTATGCGCCGAGCCGTCTCCCTTGGTGCGGGAACGCCACCGTCTGCGCCGGTCTTCGTCACACTGTCAGGGTTCTTCGCCTACTTCGAGCACCGCCGCCGCACACCTAACCTAGCCGCCGTCGCCGCTCTTCTTTGGCCGTCGCTGCCGCTACCTTCGTAGCCGCCGCCCGTCCACCCCCTTAGTCTTCGTACAAGCACCAGCTCGTTGCCAGTGTCGCCGTAATCTACCCCGACCACTTCGTCTACTCCGACCACCGTTGGTGACATCGGCCCCGCGCCGATGGACCCCGCAATTGTCGTCGAGTTCTAGTCTGCTAACCCCTACGACTTCTCTGACATGGCGCACAGCTTGTGCAGGTCCCTAGTCTAAGCATGTCCGGTGCTGGCAACACGGATGCGTGCCTTCATCCACGACGTGTCCCCGGGCCTGGCAAGTCTGGTCGGCGCTTCGTCAACTTGGTCTTCATCCGTCTACACATGCCCGGTGCTGGCAACACCGGTGCGTGCCTTCGTCCATGATGAGTGCCCGGGCTTGGCAAACCCGCCGCGACGCGTCGTCAACAACATTTTCTTCCCGGCGCACCCCTACTTCGACACCACTGCACCCATGCTAACTCGGCGCCCTCTTCCGCCCGCGGCTCCACAACGACTTCCTCGACACCGGCCACCCCGACTCGACATCGACCACGGCATGCTTCGCACGACTACCTCGACCATGGCTCCACCACCCACGCTCTTGGCTACATCGACAAACGGCACAAAGATCTACCGCCTGCTTGAGCAACCTCATTGGTTTCCACTCCAGCCACG